ACCACGCCCCAAACCCCACGTTTGTAACACAATTTTTACACTCTCATTGATGCATAGTCACAATTTCGTGACTCTACTTCTACCACCTAGACGCTTGACATCATTTGCGATTCGCCCCTTTATTCTACAGTGGAAGGTCGATTTGTTCCATTCTTATAAATGATACTTTTTAAGTGATATGTCGGTACATTGGTTAACCGTTGCATGTAGCAGTAAGTTCGATGACATGTTAAAACTCAGGTTGTGTCCAAGTAGAAGCAGCCACTCTCATTTGCATTCTTTTATTGTATATCAACATCACCTACCTGCCTCACTTGTTGTTTTACTAGGGTTAGAATTCTTGGCAGCCTTAGAACAAGAAAATATTATTAGTTTTAATTATTATTAGAGTATAGATTTTATAGACTAGGGTGACCAAATCATAAACTGGAAAAAATGGGACATACCCAAGGAGGGTTTGGGGGGGGGGTCAACACCAAAACGTGGCCGGTTTGTTGAGTCTTTGTATGACCGGTGGCACCACAGTACACAGCAGTTGAAATAAGAATGGCCCGAATAAATATTAGAGTATAGATTTTATAGACTAGGGTGACCAAATCATAAACTGGAAAAAATGGGACATACCCAAGGAGGGTTTGGGGGGGGGGGGAGATACCCTCCATCTAAAGAGTAGTCCTGAGGCCTCCGCTGGAAACTGTTTATTTAAAAATGATCATTTTAACTATTTTGAGACCTAGAAATCTTTCTAAATTTACCTTCGCTTTTTTAATTTAATTTAAACTCTAAGGCAAGGGTCGGGTACCTTTCTCTCTGAGAGAGCCATGGACACCACATATTTGGAAAAGTAATTCCATACATTATGTTTAGTAAAACTTCAAGTAAAATGTGTGCATTTTGTGTAATTTCAACACTAAAAATGCAATAATTATGTCTCTGAATTCTTTATGCTGTTGCTAATCAATAATGAGTATTTCTTACCATTATTTTTTTTTATAATCGAACATTTGTCTCGGAGCCAGATGCAGCCATCAATTGAGCCAAATCTGGCTCGCGAGCCATAGGTTCCCGACCCCTGCTCTAAGGCATATCATAAACGAAAACAATACTTTTGCAGTGCATACTTATTTATTTATACATATTTTAAAACATACTACAACACAAACAATTTAATTTTTCTAGTCTAACATTTCAATTGATGATATGTGGCTGTTGATATGGGGCTGTTATGTGGCTATTGATATGTGGCTGTTGATATGGGGCTATTGATATGTGGCTGTTGATATGTGGCTGTTGATATGTGGCTGTTGATATGGGGCTGTTGATATGTGGCCTTTGATATGTTGCTGTTGATATGTGACTGTTGATATGTGGCTGTTGATATGTGGCTGTTAATATGTGGCTGTTGATATGTGGCTGTTGTCCCAGTCATTGTTAAAACCTCCTTATTATCCAAAAATGTGAAAATGTGTTTTAGAAACGGGACATTTAGGCGTCCCCAGAGACTTTTTCGGGACACCGGGGACGTTTGGTCACCCTAGTATAGAGCTTTAAAAAATATAGTATATGCTAACAATCAGTATCAGTCATTTTTGTCTGTTTATTTTTTTTAAAAGATATACAAATAAAAAGGAACTTTACAAAAGTGGATTTTTTTTTATATTTAAATCGTAAGACAAAGTAAAATCTATAAGGCTGAGGCTTAGACTAGAGGCAGAGTAGAGGGACTTAGTGAACTGAGGCTTACGCTTCCACTTTTGATTTTACTCCACTACGATTACAGCATACATTATTTTACATTTTAATAATAATTCATTTATTTTCATTAACTATTATTATTATTAACTCAGACTGACTTAACTGACTAGCTTACCATTTTGTGTGTTTGAAAAAGCACCTCGTCTTTTTTTTTTATCAGTCACTTCTAGGCCCTCTAGTAGAAAAGCAATGCCCAATTTATGACTTGTATTTTATTAATTAAATCAAATTAAGTATTACAAAATATTTAGTTTACTAAAACTAAAACTTCACAAAAGTCCATACTCTGTCCAATGGGTATATTATTTCGGGAATCTCCGGAAACGACAGACTCTAAATTAATTCAGTTTGAATTCCCCATAAAAAGCATATGAATTTTTTAAACCAAATTAGCGACTGTTATTAAAGCTTACGTACATGCCCACATATAAAAATATATTCCTACTATTCCTTGCAATATATTTATTATTTGCAGAGCTAGTTCTTTACTTTATTAGATAACAATTGTTACAAATTAGTGATAGTAAGTGAACGTTGGCTATTAATAATATAATAATTAATATTAAGCTATAGGCCTACTATATATTAATATTATATAGTATAGCCCCATGGGCGCCCGCAGAAAACTTTCTAGGGTGGGGGGGCAAAAACATCAATTAACTTTCCAGGGGGGGGGGGCAAAAAAATTTTAGTAATGTTTTAATATAGTTTTAATTTACCGTAGCGCATTTGTATGGTGAACGAACGGACAGGACATCAGCTTAGTTACTTTCTCTTTATTTTCTCATTACTTTAATACATTTTTTGTCTATTTTTGTCTAAAATTTTTTTATCCAATCAATCCAGGGGGGGGGGCAAGTGCCCCACCTTGCCACTACCTGCGGGCGCCCATGTATAGGCCTACTATATTGCCTATATATTATTATTATTATTATTTTATTGTATAGCCTTGAGAGTCATAGTATATTCCAGGATTCGGGAAATCTTTTTGTCTGAGAGAGCCATGGACACCACATATTTTGAAATGTAATTCTGAGAGAGCAATACATTTATGTTTAAAACTAAAAATTCAAGTAAATGTGTGCATTTTGTGTAATTTCAATACTAAAAATGCAATAGTTATGTCAGTCATTTTCTCTGAATTCTTTTGAATAACATTGTTTATGCTATTGCTAATCAAATATTGATATGCAATTAATATTAAGATCAAAGGAGTTTAAAGAAATATTTTTTTTTTAAAAAAGTAATCGAACATTTGTCTGCGAGCAAGATGCAATCAATGGAGCCACATCTGGCTCGCGAGCCATATTTTCCCGACCCCTGGTATAGTCTATAATTATAATAGTGAAGGCGGCCTACTTTAGAACTTATCAATATTAGTATATTATAGTAATATATATATATTATATATTGTAACTGTGACTTATTCTTAGCCTTACTATAATTAATTATTTTTCCCGCACATTAAAGTGATTAATATAATTTATCTAAAAATAATGCATTCTAAATGAAATAAATGATCAGTGAAAATGGCTTCCATTCCTGATTTGATTTCCAATCATTCAATTTTAAAGACGACGACGAGACTTCAAGATAATTTAACACAAGCCTATTTCTGTAACTTTCACACAATCGACGATCGAACATTTAGAATAAAGTTAATAAAGATAAGGACCATGGAAAACTAGGAGTCAGTGGTGAAACACTCGGGGATGTAGTGGTTAATCAGGTTTAACGTTTAAGGGGGCGAGCTTAAACTAAATAAATTTAAATGGTTATATGCGGTAGAGTCTACAATCAGGTCAGGTAGAAGGAAACAAGGGAAATAAAGTTATTATGGGAAAAGCTGAAAAATGGGCGCAATGCAATAATGAACGTGTCGGCATGAAGCCTTCTTCAGTGAACATACAAAAATAAAAACAATATAAAAATTAAAATAAAAGATTAGCTGAAACGTGGTAGGCCAGATGACAACAGCATGAGGCATTACCTTCACCTAGACTAGTGTTTATGACATTCATTTTGAGAGCTTTCCTCTCGGGGGTATAACAATGTAGCTAAATGTTTATTATGTAGCCTTTTATTATGTAGTTCTACATTTTAGAACACTGTCAGCTGTGAACATTCTCCCCCTTTGTGGGTGCGCCGCAGAGCTAACGGGAACATGGTTAGTGGTCCATATTTTCCTCAAAGATGGATGGTCCTTTAAAATTATTACTTTATTTAAAACTTTTTTTGTTTTCTTCCTTAAGTAGGCTACTTAGATTTGTTGCACTGCTAAGGACATTGTCATCTATGTTTCTTTTAAAAAGCTAACAATGAATGTTTGGTGTTTGCAATCGAGGCTATCCAAGAAGCATGTTAGTAGGTTAGTGTAACAGCAAAGACTATAAAAAACCGTGCTAGCAACTCGGTGTTAAAGATTGGCAATCAATCACAATTCTAGTAGTAGCTAAAGTGTTACATCCAGGGCTAAATATGAAAATTGGTCGTCAAGAGCATCATTTCCGGTTGATTAATATTTTATTTAAAATTTTTTTTTTTTAAATAAACTTAATAAAGTCCATTTAAAGCTTTAAGGACAATAAAAAATGTGGTGGATGTAGAGGGGCTGTAGAATTCTAACCAATTAATGATTATTTATATATGACATACTTAAGTAGCCTATATACTTTTGAATTGTAACATAATATATATATATATATATATATATATATATATATATATATATATATATATATTTGTATATATCGAAGGAGCACACATGTGTGCAAGCACACTTTATTATGAAACAAACCATGAGACAAGGGGAAAGCCAGAAAGATCATACAAAAAAATTCTTTTTTTTTTTTTTTTACATTTTGTGATCTTTCAGGTTTTCCCTACTCTGTTATTTGTTATGCTTCATAGAGCTTCAACCTGAACACAGTCCTCCCCATACAACACTCCCTTTTATTATCTGACCAGATGAATTGCCTGGTAGTTTTAATGACACATTAAACAAAACAAACTATATTAAATAACTTCAATAACAATCCATTAAACGACTTAGTTAATAACACCAGTTTGAATTTGTACACAATGTTTATTATGTGATTATTTTTACATTTTTTTTTACAGACATCATGCATTAGTAATTGAGTCAATGAAAGTTATTGTAAAGAGTTACTTTTAAAAAAAAGTCTCTCTCATACCATTGATGATTGTTTTTTTTTGTTTTTTTAATGTCAATTATTTTTTTTTTTAAAAATCAGTTATAAAATATATCAATAAAAAAAAAATTATATTTGACATATAATGATAATTATTAAAAGACTTTTGCTGATGCGTTATGCAATTAGTAGTGTTCAACTTATACAAAATGATTATTAAACCAAAGGAAACAATGTGAGGAAATACTTTTCTAATCTATAGCAGCATAGTAAGTTCCTTATTAAATAAAAGAAACATTTATTCTAAATTTGAGCCATAGATTTTTTGCAATAGTATTAATTGTGGTAATGTTTTGTAAAGAAATTTTCGATTCATATCTATTTGCTTTAATCTTGGAAAGATTGGTATATATGATAAATTCTTTTATTTTGTTATTATCGTTCATAAATTAATTTTTTTAACCATTATTTGCTCCCCCCCTCCCCCACACCCCCCGCCCCACAAGTTTATAGTTTAGGATGCTGTATTACTCAGTGCTTCAAACTTATCCATTGGGTTGTGTATCACTTTTTAAAAAAAATCTGCTGGCATCTTCATTTTTACAATGGACTCCCCAATAAAGTAGATAAATGATAATGAAATTGAAAACTACTGACAGTGAGAAGCTACATTTAACTCTTTAACTTGATTACATCATTTAGAGAAGTGTTGTCAGCAGGCTGAACTTGCATGGCCCTGTAAAATTTTGTGCAAGAAAAATTAGGATTATTAAAATTATTTATTCTAGAAATGAGATTAAATATAATCCTTTCTTTCTTAAAAAATATTATTTACTTATAATTATGTGTAAAAATTTGATGCAAAAAATATAAAAAACAAACAACTTGTCATTAAAACCCATACATGTTAATTTAATTTATTTGCTATGAAGAGGAACAAACTTAATTCCATTTATTTTTAAAAGGTTATTAAGCAGTTTATTTAATTGAGGACATTTATATTAATAAAATTATTTCTCACAACTTTCTAAAAAGTATACTATGTACACTCAGTGTAAATGTAGCAATAAAAGGATTATATATACAGTCCTCCATATATCATGTTCCTCAGAATCCTCATAAACTGCTTGAACTCCACAATTTTATTCTTTAAATACATACTGACAGTGTCAAAATTGTTCACTTTTAAAAGAATTTCAATTTCAATGATTTTATTTACAAACAAAAGCTAGAATTTCAAAAGATATAGATACAAAAAACTATTTATATCTTTGAAATATTAAAAAAAATTTTTTTTGAGCTTTAAAGTGTACACAAGTATTATTTTATATAGCTATGTTAAACACACAATTGATTTAGTCACATAAAGTAAACATCTCACCCTCTGGGCACAATATGTATTTTGTCAATCTCATTAAAGTGGTCCTCAAACTCCAAGTTGTCCTGAAGAATCAGCTGAGCTTTGGAGTTTAACACCAAGACAACGTCATAATTTTGTTTGTATGGATACTTTTGACAGACATTTTCTTTCAGCTAAAACACCAAAAAAAATATTATTTTTTAAATCTTAATGTGTATTTGTAAACATTTCTTATTAAAAAAATATATCTAAAGACAAAAACATCTGTGACAAGACCAATAGAATTATCAGTTAACAAAAATGTATTTATAGTTTAAAAATAAATTAGTCTATATGTGCAAATATTAAATTTCACCCCCCCACCCCAACCTCCCTTTTTTTTTTACTAAACCAAATCCATTAATTTTTTTTGGATCAGCTATGTGTCGTTGACAAGGCTTTTTTTTTAAAATTTAATTTGAACATTTACTAACTTATAAAAAATGAAAAAAAAAAAACAAAAAAAAACAACAACTTATTATTAGCTTTCAAATACGTTTTAAGTAAGTAACCCTTATTTAAATGTTTTTAAATTTTACCAGTAATACTATTAATATGAAAATATATATTTTATTTAACCTTGGCCTTCCAGAATATAAGATAAGTCTCAGTGAACTCAGTGAAACCAAGGTAAATTTGACCCGTCTTCGTAATATCATAGGCTCTGATGAACAGCACTTGAACTGCCATGTAAGCTGGAAATATTTAGAGCACACTTTTGAAGACTTACCGTGTAAGCTGTTTGCTTTGGAAAAACCAGCTGTTGTTGTGTCGTATCATCAGGAAGACGGACGTCAAACAATCTGCCTTCCTCTTGAGAAGCTTCTGTTCATTTAAATTAAATAATTCTATAACAATTAATAACTCTATAACAGCAAATAATGCTATAACATTGAACAAATCTACAAAATTGAATAATACTATAACATTGAATAATAGGCTACTTAACATTTGGATGACACTATAAATTTAAATAGTAGGACTATAAAATTAATTGAATAACATTACAACTTTAAATAATACTATAGCATTGAATAAATTTATAACATTTAATAATATTGTAACAGTAAATAATACTATAACTATTCAATAATGCTATAACATTAAATAAAAATATAACAACGTTAAATAAATGCTTGTAGGAAAAAAAATGCACAGACACAAAAGTCACTGAAAAAAAAGTCACAAAATATATTTCATATATAGGCTAAACTCCCAACTTTCTGTGTTTATATTTGTAAGTCCATGTATATGTTTATTTACTGAAATAAAAAAATAGCAGTAGCCTATTTGAATCATTTTTTTTTTTGGATTCAATCAGTGTTTCCTATTGATATTTTATGTATACTGTAGTATACACGATTATTCACACATTTAATAATATGATTTATTATTACTGAGTTATAGGCCTACATGTGTGCGTGTGTGTGTTTGTATTATATATAGGGTCTACATATTATTATCACACATTTAATTATATGCTTTATTAAAATTATTTACAATGTTATGCATAAAGCCAATACAAACAAATATTATTATATTATAGATTGAACAACAATAAATGGCAGTAACTTAGTAAGCGTTTGATCTCACCGACACACCTCATATAGGAAAGGACTAAAGGAAAGCAAGGGACCTTGCCTTGTAGTACCAGTTACTGACGACTCTATTCAGACAATGCATGAATTAATGGCCTCAATGTGGTCAGTGGTTATCGGGGGGGGGGGGGCTTTGGACAGAAAGATATAAAAAAAAACGTTGGTTCCCCAATCATGACCAAGGTGCTCCCCCTGCTGTTGTAAAATCACATACCTGTAATCTCACTAAAACTTATTATTGTAAACAAGGGAGTGTGATCGGACCGAAATATATACAGATTCATGTGTACCTCAGTATTGTCATGATATATTTATGATACCGATATCTGAAATTCAGATTTTTTTTCATGTGAATTTTTTCCTTTTGACCTTTTTTTACCTTTCCCTTTTTTTCCACTCACCAAATAATTCTATAACATTGAATCATACTGCGAAATTGACTGTAAGGTAAGCAATAAGGCTAGCAAAATAAAACTTTCGGTCAAGATTATTCACTAATTCACTGGTAATTGTTGCGCTCCGGATATTGTGTTTTATTTCGCGGTGTCTTTAAATTGAAGAGTTAGTTTAGTTATGGAAGCATGTCCCGCCTTTAAGTTGATGAAGAGTATTTATTGTATTTTGGCGTACGTGCATTTTGGTTCAGCAGTAGTTGAAAAAAAAAACATTTAGGGGATGTTACCCATAACTGTTCTACATGTAGTTAACCTAGTATTTGTTCAGTGTTCGTTTGTACAATTAGTTTATTTTGTATGTTTCATTTTAATAGAGATTCCTCAGTAGTTTGTGCACTGAAGTTTGGACATATTTTTATTGAAATGTTTATATTTCTGAGCGTTTAGTTGTCTCCCTCTATATGTTTATTTAATTCTGCTGTGATGAGTGCTTCTCCAGCGGCTTTTTAATTTTTAAAAAAAAAATTAACTCTGTAGTTTCTTCCAAAGTTGGGGAGTTTATTAAAGGGTCAGGTTCTCCATGTGGTGGTTCATAGTCTTCCTTATGTCTATTGTCTGCATTTAATATCACGTCAAATTATTCAGCCCACCCTTCTATTACTTTACTTTACTATTAACCGTAATTAATCTAATTTTCCATCTATGATCTCACATATTTGAGATCTGGATTTTTAAAATTTTTTTTTTTTTTTTGGGGGGGGGGGGCATATTTTTAAGTACATTTATCAACATTTTTAGGCATACTTCATGATGTTGACTTCTATTTATTTTTTTTTTTTGTTTTTTTTTTTTTTTGTTTTTGTTTTTTTAAATTTTTTTTTTTTTTTTGGGGGGGGGGGGCATATTTTTAAGTACATGTATCAACATTTGTAGGCATACTTCATGATGTTGACTTCTGACACAAGGCCTGGAATCACCAACCCGTTGTATCTGTTAAGAAACCTAATATCCATTTATTATAAAAAATGCAAATGAGTTACCAGATTGGCCAGTGCATCTATTAATAGTTGAAACAGTTTTGCCAGAGCTGTTACCCATGGCTTCTTCTTTTTTTCTTTTTCTATTTCTAGAAGATAAGAAAAAAAAACAAATATATATATTAAGAATGTCAATAGCTGTGAACTTATAATAATAAAATCCATAAACAATTTTTTTGTAAACAGTACTAAAAAACAACACCGTGGGCGTGTCTCATGTCACTGAGCTGGTTGTGTAAGTATTTCAAGAGCATCTACAGGTTTTCTTTTTCACCCTGATCCTGAGAATTTCATCCGAAACGACCAAATATTTATTGCATTTAAATTTTAAAACTGTGAATTTTTAAAAATTGTATCTTTCAACTTTATGAAATACCACTAACACACTGCATGCTCTGAGTACAGGACGGGCTATTCCATCTATAAAAGTGAAGCTATTACGTACACTCTAAGAAATACACACGAAAAGTATTGATCATATTTATCCGAGAAGTTATTAGTAATAGTGAATAAACATTTGATTTTTTTTTTCAACGTGTTATTTTTTTTATAGAAAATGTATATCTACAAAATGTTATAATTACAACAACCGAGGACGTCGAAAAGTTGAGAACCCATGAATAACCCTAATCCACAAATAAGCCTATTCTCCCAACCCGTGCTTCGGGGGCATCGATAAACGACGGCATACATCATGAGGAGAAAGATACACAAAAAAACGGTTAATGTTGACGAATTAGTTAAGATTTAGTTAGAGGGTGTCTTAAAAATGTAAGGAATATGTGCCAAAAAAGTCCAGGTGGGGGGAAAAACAAAATTGACCAGAACTACGTGACGTCATTTATGGATGGCCCCTTTAATTACGTGTGTTATAAAACGAAGACTTCTCAAGAATATGTGAAAGAGCAAATCTTTCTTTTTGACGATCATGCTCAGTGTCCCATATAGCCTACAAGAGTGCAATATAATAAATAATAATACACTTTAGATACCAAAACAAAAAAAAAAAAAAAAAAAAAAAAAAAAAAAATATTTTAAAAAAAAAAAAAAAAAAAAAATATTTTAATCAAACTGAACATGAGAAAGTGAAACTATCTTAATAGTAGGGCCCAGTCGAGAGCTCGTAATATAAATATAAATCTGTTACTACAATGGCATAAAGTAATGCCATCATACTAGAGTGGGGGGGGGGTGTAATTTGACACCTCCCTCGTCCCCCCAAAAAAATATTTATAAAATTACATTTATTTTAAGCGCAGATTTAAGGTAAAAACCTTAACAAAATACTAGTCCGGTCGAGATAATAGCCAGTGTAGCAAATATACACGACAGTAGGAGCTATGACTATGGCTATACATTTCTTTTAAAATACCTGCAACATTTAGAATTAATTTGGTATTAATTATAGTGATAAACAATTTGTTATCAAGCATAGCTATATGTTAATGTCTTTACTTTACCATACAAACAAAAATAATATCTCAATATGTGGAACGTTTGTGATTAAAACGAAATTACACCAAAAATATATTTATTGTTTAGGCCATTTTAGCCAAGAAGTAAATGCTAATAATTTCGGGAAATCCATATTCTATTTTTAAGGTACGGATATTCATCCAACGCTCTTTTTTTATAGCAAGGTAAATTGTGAGTGATTACAAAAGCAAACGCAATAAGGTGACGTCATTAAAGTTCTGTTACCTACTGGTGGCCTAACTATGGTTTAACTACTAATGTGGTTCTACCACAGGTGGACTTCTTTTCAGGCACGGCATTGTCTGTTCACTTAAACGAAGAAAAAATGTTCTTTTACGCGTTTTCTTTTAGAAACTAATGAACAAGAAGAAACTTTTAATCTCCCAGCGGAGATATATATATATTTCGCTTTTGGGAGACTGTTTCCCTTTCCGGCTGATTCCTAACTCAATTTGGAGAAGGCGTCGGTGGGTCATCGAGCGTGAGCTCTTAAAAACCCCCTTAGGCACACCCCCCACACGGGACGACGTGTGGAAGAGCGCCCGAGACCCCCCCCCCCCCTTTTTTTTTTCGAACTTAGGGGATGTCCGGTCGACTGTGCGCACCCCTTTCAGGGTGTGGCAATCAACTCTCCTTGGATCAGAACGGCTTTACTTCCCCTCCGGGGGAGAGATGTTTTGTTATACTCCCCCACCGCCCAGGGAGTTGTTCGGGCTAGACGTAGCGTGACGGGGACGAAACGGTCGCCTAGGAGCGGCTTTCTCAGGGCCGCGTATTTTAAATCCTCGGAAAGTGTTTTTGCTGCTATCCAAACCTCATATCCATTATCGGCGACAAGTAATCATGTTACTGCGCTTCTTCCGTTGCGTTGGAAGTCATGCAAGTGGCCGGGATCCTTTAGCTTCAGGAGTGAACCTCCATACTGGTCTGCCACGCCGCGAAGAGGCAAAATCCCACGTGACACCGCCGACACGCTTTGGTGGTGTGGGTCACTGACCTAGAGACGTTCGGTCAGGTCATTGGCCGCAGTGGCTGCTTCCTAACAAGCTGGCTGATTCATATTCAGCGTATTTGGTACTGACATTATTTTCTGAGGTTTTGCTATATGCTCTGTATTTTGTGACTGTTATGTAACACACTTTCCCCGTGCTTGAACTTTGTTTCACCCCACATTAGATTCCTAGCAGGTGGTAGCGTTTGTTGTGGGCCTGGTTAATCTCTTTGACGCATCATGTTTAATACCGAACTACCAATTAAACACGATCAGTATGTCTCCTAGTACATTGTAGAACATTCGCGATTTGTTCTAGAAACGTAAACAAATGCTGAGTAGCTTCTGGAAGGCAGGGCTTACGCTGCATATATAAAGGGATTGACAGACACTGAGAGAGAGAGAGAGAGAGAGAGAGATTCAGATAGATATATTTTAACTTCACGAGACGTATATTAATCCTTGTGTACTTATGTGTTTATTCGCTTTCGTCATTGTACATTATTAATTGGCACATTGTATTCTCTGTGTACCGGTACAAGATCTACCATACTCTGTAAGTTGATGATTTGTAATTATATTTCTTTTGTTTTGTAATTGTATTATTACTCAATTAAATCTTATTATAATTATGAATGGTACTGTTTTGGGAGTCGTATTTTTTATTATTGTATTTCTCTTTGGTATCTTCCTTTAGAAAGCAATTCGTAACAGTGACGTATATTTTGGTACAGGGAATGGCATTGTTAATGTTGTTATGTCTTAGCAGGAGCAGCAATAATGACCTAATTCATAATGGTGTGCTAGTAATAGAGTTCCTTATTTAATCAATAGATTTTTCCTACATGAATCACGGGTTTGTAAAATAAATAATAAAATAGTGAGTTCAATAGCACGCAAAATATAGTAACTATTCTCATCCTCATGACCCTTAGTCCTTGGACCATTGGGGCGCCACAGATGGCATGTGAACCATCCTCCTCCATTCCTGTCTGTCTTCAGCACTACGCACCGCATCGGCCAGTGTTAGTCCTGTCCGCTCTTTGATGTTATTCTCCCACCTTTTTCTTTGTGTTCCTCTTCTTCTCCCTCATCTTGTGGTGCCCTGCAATATTTCTTTGGCAACCCTTGTTTCCTTGTTACGTGGCCGTACCAATGTAGTTTGCGTTTTTTCACAGTCACCGGTAGGTCATCGTACTCCCCAATTGCCTGACGAACCCTTTCTTTCACTGTATCATTGGAGATATGGTCCCTATAGCAGATGCCAAAAAGGCTTCTGAAGCATCTCATCTCCATCGCCTTTATTTTCCTTTCAAGATCGGCTGTTAATGTCCATGATTCGCAGGCATACAGGAAAATGGAGAGGACTAATGAGCGCATCAGCCTGATTTTGGTGCTGGGGGCTATATTTTTGTCATTTCATATTTTCTTGAGCTTCTTTAGTGCTGTTGTAGTCTGCGCAATCCTGGATATCAGTCTCTAATCTTTCCTCCCCGACCTTAATTTCAGTGGTGATGCCTGCGGTATTATTTGTCATCAGTTTTGTCATTTCGGCACTGATTAGCCTGCCGTAGGACGACGAGGACTTATCGAGACGCTTTACCAGGTTGTCTAGCTCTTCTTCGTTCCCAGCCAGTCCATCTATGTCGTCCGCAAAGCGTATAGGTTGGTTATTGTTCTGCCACCAATGCTGACTGTCCCTTCATGCGCTTCCAGAGCGCCTGACGTAAGTCTCTCTAGGAAGATGTTGAATAGGGTGGGGGAGAGCAGGCAGCTTTGTCGTACTCCAACCGTTGTCTTGAACCATTCTCCGATGTTGTTGAGGAAGACTGCACTGGTGGTCTTATCATAGAGGCTGCATATCATTCTGGTGAGGTTTGTTTTGATGTTGTAGTGCCTCATGATTTTTATCTTTAAATAACGCTAACTGCGTTTGGTGCGTAATCTCTTTTCTTTTTGGAAAATGAAGTCGTTTCAAGTGACGTATCATGTGGGGGGGGGGGGGGGGGGGGGGGGGGGAAGGGGTGGGAGGGAAGGTTGTGGCGAAAAGTGAGATTCTTAAATGAACGTTACCTGAGTTCATGTTTTGTCCAGTAACTTTAGTAGACGCATTGTCCAGTAACTTAAGTAGACGCATTGCTGTCGACAATGTTTGGCGAGCTATAATTAGTTCTAAACCTTGAGCATTCAGGATCAATTAATTTAAATGTGATGCGCAACGAATCACTGTGATAGATCATGGGGGCGGAGCACTTTAAATAACTGCACCCATGAGCTGCATCACACCATCCCCTCTCACACCCCACCATCATTTTCACAACAGACATCCACTCTCTCATTCATCCACACCAACCACTCTCCCTCTATTACCATACCCTCCGCTTCCCCCCTAACACCACACAAATACTACACCCACCATATCATCCATTTTCTTAACACCTCCCCCCCCCCAACAACCCCGCACATCATCCGCTCATTTTTGGGTAACCATGAGACCATAGCGATAAAATTGTTTCAATTTGAGGGCTTTCTAGAGATGTGTGAATTGTGTTTCTCTTGCTGCTAAATACATTGAGCATTTACATATCCATTAAATGACAGATGTGTTTTATTTCGAGCAGTGCAATACTTCAACACTTTGGTTTGTAACAACAACCAAAAGGCTAACATGAAGAAAAGTTTCGTTTTATTAAAGTATTTCAAATTACTCAGTGGAATTTCACAAACAAATTTGCATATGTTTATCTTTATTTCATCTTTATTTTCAATTGTTTTT